TCCACATCGCTGACCATTTCTTCAATCACCACAGCAAAAGATTAAAAAAGATCCCAATCAGTTTTATAGTAAATTAAACGTGATTGTCTTGAGATTTTTGAATTGCCTGTAATATTTACAACGACTGGGAAGTGGTCACTATCGTAGAGATTCTCCCCTACACTGAAAAAGCAGAAAGGTAGTAGAGATGGAGAACAAAAAACCAGATCAATTACATGAAGTGTTCTAGTCGACTGATGAAAGTAAGTGTATTCTCCATTATTAAGGAGAAAAATAGAGTGATCTTCCATTAATTGTTCGATCTGCCAGCCCCTTGAATTAGTGTCCCCACTTCCCCATAATGTAATATGGGTATTAAAGTCACCTAAAAGCAATAAAGGTTCTGGGAGCTGCTCTATTATTCTGTCCAACTTTCGCTGATCAATATGCTCGTGTGGGGGTAAATAAATGGTGCATATAGAGATTTAAAAGCGCAAATTAATTTGAACCGCCACAGCTTGAAGGGATGTCTTCGAAGGGAGAGCAATGTATGGGTGATTGTGGGAGGTGATAAGGCCTACACCATCACAGGGACGATCCTCAGATGGGTTATCCTTTCTTACTGTTGTATATCTCCGTATCTTACCATGTCTGCTTGGTTTTAACAAGGTCTCCTGGAGCGCAAGGCAGGCAGGTTGATGCACATTTATTAAATCCTTGATGTTATCCAGGTTTTGACGAAAACCCCGGCAATTCCACGAAATAAATGTACCCATCATGGGATGCTTGTTTTGGCGGTTTTGGTGTTTCGGAAGGGATAACCCTTCTTCAACGTCCATTTAGTAAGAGTCGTCTAAGCGTCCTGAACTCGTACTTCCGATGAAACGTTGACTGGTGGTCCTGAGTTTTTGCTTATTTTTCTCTTTTGATACCATCTCCATGTTTGTTCTGTTGGAAATCCTGTTTTCCTTTGGGAGCAGTCACCGGCGTACTACTTTTAGCCTCAGATTTTCCCCCGATTTTTGGTTTCTAGGATCTTCTGTCATTGGTAGATCTTTTTTCTGTGCGGTTATTGTGGTTTGCGTTGATATTGATCTGAATGATTTTGTTGCGGATGCATAAGATTTATTAGGTCTGGCTGATTAGAGAGAACAAGTCTTTTGGCTTCTGCAAATGATATCTTTTGTGTAACTAATGCTTTGTATTTGTTTTTCTGTCTGCCATTTCGGACATGATCTTGAAAAAACTGGATGCCCGCCTTTACAGTTTATTCACAAGGGGGCAGCAGAGCAGCCTTCACTAGCATAGCCTACGATGGAACATCAAGCGCACGTGAGGCTACCGCGACAAGAGGTCTTTCCATGTCCAACGCGCTGAATTGAAAGCAACGCATTGGATTCGGTATATATGGCCTGACTGAACAGTTTAGGTATCCAGCTTTGATATATTTAGGCAGGTTAGGAGACTTGAAAGTAAGTATGCCATGTGTAGTGGGAACGAGTTTACCTTCTTTCTGCATTTTGATCGTACAAGCACCGCACACGTTTTGATCTGCCAACTCTAACAAATTCCTCTTCAGTTACTAACAGTAAGTCTATTTCAGAGATTACTCCTCGGGACGAATTTAGGGTGTTATGTGGCTTAACTACAATGCTTGCTTGTCCTAATTTAGTTAATTTCAAAACACTATTAAACTGCTTTCCAGACACAGTTTCCATCAAAATGTGTCCAGATCGAAGTCTCTTAATATTTTCCAGTTCTCCTACAGAAGACAAAAGATGTTTGTTTATTAGAAAGGATGACATTTTTTTCAATTCTTCAGAGCTAGTTATAATTAAGAAACGTGAACAAAGTACATCTGATGCAGTGCTTTCTATGTCGCTTTTTAGTCTTAGTCACAGTCGGAGTATCGGGTACATTGTTGGAGCAAGAAGATATAGCATTCATATTTAAATGGAGAAAGATTCGGGTCCGACCGCCCCACCCACAATGGAGCCAAACAAGGGGACGCAGATTCCTACGCCAGGGCTAGCCGGACCTATACGCAATCTGAAGTCCCGAAGTCTGCTTTCCCAAAAGCAGGTACTCCCGAGAGCTTGTCCCCAAGCCACTGACACAAGGAGTAGCGACCAGCCGACTGGCACCCGTGAGGACAACAAGGTGCCTCGCGTTTAACAGCAGCAGAGGCCAAAGCAGTGTGTTGTGGACAGTACCTCGCTCCTCAACTACCAGGACCCTCCTTTCCAGTGGCACGGGTCTCCACGCACGGCAAACACGTGGGTAGTTTTCTCGCCACTCGAAGAACTAGGGACAAGGCTATTCCAGGTTTTCATGACGAGCCCAAACCTCGGAAGAGGAAACCTCAAGGGAGAAGGAAAACGGGAAAAGTTGCAGTTAAGAGGAGAGGAGGCAGAAAGGAGGAGAGATCACTGGGGATCCAGGATTGTGACACCCGATCACCGAGACGGTAATCCCTTGAAGGATCTTCACCTGCTATGCATTAACTGGGCATGTTTGAACTGTCTTCACGCCTAGGGTGGCCCTACCAGGAGCTAAACTCCCGTTCGGACTGTAGTAGCTGAGAATCTTGTTCCCGTTGCCACTAAATGACCTGCCGAGGCACAGTAATGTTACACCTCCTTGGGTCGGAAATGGCTAAATAACGGTCTCTCACAGGTGCCATTGTAGGTCTGCCTGGAACACGTCTTCTAGACATAGAATCCTCGGATTCAAACTGATTCCATAGTCGGTGGGCCACACTATGAGACACTGAGACTAGCAACACCAGCTTGGGACATTTCCATTTCCATCCACTCGATCGCCCGCCACCTAACGAATCGGGCAATCGACTTCTCCTGGACACTGATAGACTGGATACTGTCCACGAAACTAATTGCAACTGAAGATTAACATTAGTGAACAAATATTTAAATTTTTGCATTTTTCCCCCTCCAACTCGTACACAAGAGTTAATTTCTATAAAATAAAAGTGGCAGCTATTGTTTTTGCATATATTTTCTTAAACTTCGTTACTGTCATGCATATGAATTGTGAATTTAAACGTTACTGACATTTTTGTAATAGTGAGCTTTGAAAAACTTTGTGTTCCAACTTTTAGAGGGCAAAGTAGATGGATTACCCAAATGAAAAGGTAATCTAGCAAGCTCTTCAGTAAGAATGAAACTAGAATCTAGTATTTAGCCATCTCATTATTTCAAGAGCTAATCAGGGCTTTGTGCATCATTTAAAATTAACTATTGGATAAAAATTTTAAGTCCTATTAAAATAACGAAGATTCCCGGTCTTAGGAGCATTCTTGAAATCTTCAGTGCTAATTTACACCCGGAACCGGAAATTTAAAGAAACTATTTCTCTCTGCCTAATTTTTTTAATAGCAGCAGCTTTTTAATTTAGAATGCAATTAAAAATTCTCCTTTACGCATTATATAGTAACGCTAACCAACGTTTATAATAGAAATGCAATTCGGTTTATTTTGCAGAGTGCGAACTTTCATTAGGATACCTTCATTAGAAATGCATGTTTTTTCCCAAAGGAAAAACTCAAAAAGGCAAAAAATGAATTACTTCGAATGTGGCAGCCAATAATATCTGAACAGTTTGTAGTTGCAATGCGACTGCGCAAGTAAGCATTTATATTATTTCTATTTAAATGTTTTGATCTGAAATATTTCTGGATGACGTTTTAGAAGCTAATAGCATAAAAGTTTCAGATGAGAACTAACTTTGTAAAGTAGTACATGTTATTCTTATTGTATTCTTTGTAACTAATTATTGATTCGATTTTTTGCTAGCTTAGCATTCTAGATAAATTATAATAGAATAAAACATCAAAGTAATTGGCATAAAGAGATTTGCCTCCTTAACTCCCACTTTTGAAAAATTAAAGATATTCATTACAGTCACAAAACAGTCATCTTCAGAGATTTCGATAACATGATGTAGCCATTAAATTCTACTAACCTAGAAACAAAGATTTTAATGCGAATCAATTTATCAAAATTGCAATTTATCAAACTGCAAATTATTTTAGATGTTTAAAACCGTGTTAATACAAGTTTGGCTTAATTGCAATATTTTTTGGATGTTAACACCGTGGTAACGTTAAACTGTAAAACTATGGTTCTAATTGCTATACTTGCAAGTGTTAATAAAATCGAAAAAGTACAATATTATACAGAAACCAAGTAGTAGATGTATGTTTTTAGTATGAAGTTTGGTATGGTAGGATTGAAACCGTTTTCTCGGTGAAGAAATGCCATACAAAATTTGCTGATACACAGTGCGCCATTTTTTCAGTGCCTCCTTGCATTGGTTTTCCACTGCCAACAATTTTCTTCAAAATAATCTAGATGGATATTACAAGGCAATCGCCTACGGGGTCCGAAGTAAGGCATTCACCACGGAGAGTAATAAGGATTTATCTTATTACAGAACTCAAAACATTTGTTGCCAAAAGTCGCGAATTCATGTCACCGACGAATGATACAATTAACACCTCATGTCAGCAATCATTAGCATGAATAATAGTTTTTAATATCAGAACTTAATGCCTTCCTGAATGTATTTTTCTACTTTTCACATCACATTAAGCATACAAAAAGTTAGCTTCGTTAACGACGGTACCTCGAAGACATTTCCGTTTTGGTAGATATAACCCCGTCCTCAAAGACGCTTATGGTTTTCAATCATGGAAAATCAAATGAAGCTTTCAAAACACAGAATATAATATCAAAAAAAGATATGTATGAACGCGGTTAGAAACATTCACGGATATACTGAATTTCGTAATTTAGAAAAAAATCCCTGTTACCCAGTGCCACATGAAAAACCAACTGAATTGTTTATTTTCATTCAGAAGAATACATTATGGTGCCAAGGATTTGAAAATTAACCGCTATTTTTATTTGAATTTAGAGGAAGCATTAGAAGATGCTTTTAATGCTCTTAATAGTGTGGTTAAACATTTAGAATACCTCGTTTTAGTTTTTGAAAGTACTTACCTCACTGAAAATCTGTCAGATGAAATGCGATCAAGCATGTTGTAACAGAAATGCATTATCTGCAATAGATTTGTAATGATTTGTAATGGAAGATTAACATAAATGCAACATTCAATATTGATACTTGAAATGAAATTACACTAGAAATTTAAAATAATTATCAATCTTAAAAATCAACTACTATAACAGAAATTAACAGGAGTATCCCAATATCAAGATTAATTTTAAGAAGCCTGCGATTGCGATGTGAATAAATTATTGTATATGAAAACGTACACCGTATTCTGCAAGTAAGCTATTTCCATTTTATCAAGATTGTAGCCAGCTTATAAAATTAAGGAATTTATTGCTATTAAAATACCTTATCAAATTAACACGTAGTAAATTACTTCAAAGATATCTCTGATAACTTAAAGCCTACTTCATATAAGTGATACTGACCACAAATACTAAACTCTATGGATTCTTATAGTATTCTATGCCTATTCCAAGAGCACCAGAAATATCCAGGAGTAATACGCAGCTAAAGCGATTCAGCAGTATTAGCGATTTTATCATTAATTAGCACACTATACATTGAATTCTATAGAATGTCCCATTTTGTTCCGCCGACACTTTACCATCCGAACAGATCCACCTCTCATGAATTTTGCTTAGTAACAATAGAAGGAAGATAACTGAATATTTACCTGAGCAGCGTCTAATGATAGTCGTAACTGCACTTTTTTTAATTTGTGATGTATTAACACCTTATAAAACGATTCCTTAATATTTTAACTTTTAGGCTGCTTCAAACAATCTATTAAAAATATTCAAGAACTTTTGGAAAATTAAAAATTAAGGATTTTACTTATTTTAATACATAATTTGCTAGAAGTAAGGCAATTTTACTAAAAAGCCTATTGTTCGGGAGAAGTACAGTAGAAGGGCTAGGAGTGTAAGCAAGAAGTGTATAACGCGAATGTTTAGAAAATGCCACTTAAAAAATTTTTACTTTAGTTTGTATAATTACAAGAATGTATAATTCCCGCGAAGAAAGGCGTTATCAAGGCGGAAGTTTCGAGATTTTCCAATAAAAGGTTAAATTTTATAATTTAATGTCATGATCAAGAAGTTCCTGCAGATAAATTTTTCTTACCTCGTAACCCTTATCTAGGCATTCCGTCAAATCATGCCTGGAAATAAAGAATTTGCAAGAAATACTGAAAAACACTATACATTATCAATTACATAGAATACTGTGTATACAAGTGTGTGAAAGACACTGCGAATTAAGAAACAAAATGTACTTACCCAAACATGTACCAATCATAGGTAACGGTCAAGTAGAGCATTTCTAGGGGATTCAGGCTCTCATGCATTAAGTCGTCAGCCCAAAAGGACAAACGCAATAGTGTTACGAAAAGTGGGGTCCTATCTTGACCAGCAATGCAATGCAGTAGGATCCCTCGTCTTGGAAGGGTGTCTGAAAAGCAATTAAATCAAGAAGACTGCAATTATTTTACTGAAGGTCTACATCAAAGAGGCTTTCATGTAAATGTAACATTCTAACATTCTAAAGAATACTTTTGCTTCCTATTTTATATGTGTGGATTTAGAATTTCCATTATTAATTAGACTGAAATAAATAATCCTTACGTTTAAGAATCGAAGATTTGATATAATTTATATTGAGATAAATCGAAATCTTTTTAAAGTTTCTTTCATTACAAACAAGGCAATTTATATATACTCTGCAAAAACGTCATTGGTTAATTTTGTACAAATCTAGATTAAGATAAAAAAATAACTAAATGATAAACTAACTCGTGAAAGTGTTCAAACCGACATAAGGGGCTAAATTAGAATGGCCATATTCAGATCTATAAAGATCTGAATGAGGTAGGTGGCAGATTATGGTTGACGTATTTCGTTTAAACTATACGTTATAGGGAACAATCAAATTATGTTAATTTGCTTTACCAGAACTGCAGTAATAATTTGCCTCCTATGCGAAAATATGAAAGTTTTAAAAGGCTTGCCAGAAAGCTATGTTGAGAGATATCCACAATGATTTTAAAGAATGATTACTAAATTTAAAGAATAGTTGGGTGTTCTGACAAAGAGCGGAAACAAATTTCAAATGAAATTGTGGAAGAAGTCTCTGTGGTTCACAGAGTTTCCTGTTCTCCATTTCCTTCGATAAATGTTCGAGCAGTGTCGTCTGTTGTTTACCTCGGTCTACATTACGGGAAGTTATGTTCATTTTAAAGTGGTGTTATTCAAGATTAACATGGTGCAAAAGCTGGACATTCAAGGCCCGAATTAACGTGCTGATTTTGCTTACCGCTTTTGAGAAGAATAGCTGCTGACGACGCACGGCTTCAGAATATTTTGTGGTCAAACGACGGGCAAGCAGCAATTACTCAGATATATCGCATTACAGGGTATTACAAGTTCAATGTTGTGCGTGAACAGCCTCTGCATTATGATAATCTTACTATATATGGTTATACTGCCGAATTCGTTCTTAGTTCCGTTTTCTTTTAAAAGAGAACTCGATGCCCTAAAAAGGTGACATCACAAGGGCCCGTTTTTGCGCACTTCTGTGTGCAAATCTTTCCTGCTTTAGACAAAAATAGAGTCCCGTCTTCATCCAAGATGATGCAACACCTCGTATTAACCAACGAGAGAAGGAACTGCTTTGGAGATGATAGGGTAATTTCGAGAAGTTCCTCCGAATACCAGGTCTACTTTTCCTCACTTGAATCCTTGCAACTTCTGGTTATGAAGATTCCTGAAAGGTAGTGTCTACAAAGGAAAAATACAGACTACAGCGAATGTGAAAGAAAGCGTAACATGCCATGTTGCTAGAATTCAAAGTTATCTTCTCGCTGCTGTTAACGTGCTTGGAACATTTAGTGCAAATGGAATGCTGCGATTAAATAAAATTTGATGTTTCCAATTTGAGTTTGTTCTGCGCTACATTTTTACCTAGTTCTCGAAATGTGATCTATTCTTCTCTTGCAGCTCCTTAACCCTTTGTCTATATAACGAAAATACTAATTCAACCAAATACATCAACTAGAAGGAGTTCCATACAAGTCTGCAAAGTTTTATTATGTTTACAATTCTTTTATATAGAATAAAAATTAAACCGTGTCATAAAAGTGACCAACTTCATGTAGTTGTAGTTACATATAAATAACATGAAACGTCAAGCTTTGGAAGAAAAGATTTTTTTGGCTAACTACAGAACATCCTCATTTATGATAACTTGGAGTATTTAACCCTTCAGTTAAAACTAAACTACGCCTTAATTTAGAAGGTTACCAGAACTTCCTGAATCATACTCACCGGAAGTAAGATAAGTCTGTAAAACCAGTAGATAATTTAGTGTTATATCATGTAGGCTCCATCTCTGGAAAAAAGAAAATATCCAAATTAGTCTTTAGGTAATTTGGATTAAACTCACTCAAGATGTTCAAGACTTAATTTTAAGTACATAATGTGAAGAACACATGTTCGTATCATATTTAAGTAAATATTATTGTACGATAACATTGCAAGATTAAAGTGGAAGTAATTGCATGATTTGAGTTCCCACTCCTTTAAATTATATGTTTCGAACTTCTTTTAACGCGCATTATAAAACATTCACAGCATAGATGCCATGGGTTCATTTTAAACAGCCCTCCTAGACGCCTTTCATATATACATGTAATTCCCGTTTCGCAAGTGTTTTGCATTATTAAGTTGATAACCCTGTAAAACAATAAACACAATTTTCTCAAAGGACTGATGCTTGCATTTTAAAATAGTCCACTCTAATACTTTAATTTTACTATACGCATGCAATTAAGTTTATTAAAAACGAATTAATAGAATTAACATCACTTTGCCCATTTCTTTTACTAACGCGGTTATGGCGGTATCGTAAATATCAGTGTATAAATTACCTTCGACAATTAAAGCAGATAGGATCAACATTTCTTATAACTGTCAAATTTATCCTAATCAGAAAGCTTTATGTCAATTCATGCTCGCAGTTCAAACTTTTTTTTTTATATTCAGACTGATTACAGAACGAAGTCTTGGATTAATAATTTGAAAAAAGCCATTATGTACAAGGATAAGAATTCATGAAATTCATTCTAAGGGAATCGGTTTGATGTAAGCATGAACTTCATACTGCCAAGCATTCAATCGCGAGAAACCGAAGGCTGAGCTAGTTACGAAGATCTCGAGGATTTGGCGGGTGGTGTCAACCCTCTGACAAACCAAAGGTTTTTATCATGAGAGTTCAGGCATGAGTTTACCTTAATAGTTGCATGCAGCCATGTAGTATATATACAATTTCTAATTGACCATTATTAGCCTCTCAGCATGTGCTTTTTCTTTTAATAAGAAAAAGCATGAATCTTTAGTTTTAAGCATAAGTCGGCTATAAATCTTAATTTTGAAACATATTTGAGAATGAACACAATTATTTATGAATAGTTATGCAGAGAGTATTCACGCGTATTTAGAACAATTTCGATAATTAACCAATTGTTTTGTAATGAAAATTTTTGATAACAGCTTATTTGCAATGAGAAATATACTCTGTTATTTTCAAAATGGAGCATGTAAACAAGCTGTGGGTTTAAAGATGTGGTTTTGTGCTTTCCGAAAGAGAAGTATTATATAATTCAAAAACTTAGTAAAGCATATTAAAATACCTAACTGCAAAAGAAGCATTATTAATCATAAAGAGAAAAACTATCTGTCATTACTTCAAACAAAGGAAAAAAAGGCTCCAAACGAATACCCGAAAACAATATGTACTGTTTTTAATGCATTGTTGGTAACAAGAGTAAATTCACTTACGCAGAAATAGCAGTCTTCATATACATCTGTAATAAATTAATAAACCAAGATTTGTAGCTGAAAAAAGCTAAAAAGCATAATATTCACCAGAGTTTGTCAAGGCATGTGGCTCAATGGCAGAACAATTAGTAGAACCCTGCATGAAACGAATTTAGCAGGAGATAAATAGAAACATATTGTGAGCATTGATGAAGTATGGGCTTACCTAAATGAATGCAGCAAAAAGCTCATTATCGAAAGCGAAGAGAAAATGGTTCCCTCGACGGAATTTCAGCAAGAGGTTCATGATTGTCGCAGGATTCTCTTATAATGAGGAATCAAAAAATCTGAATGGAAGATGTTAAAATACATCTCACCCTATTAGCAAGCGAAAGTTACGTCTTATTTTCCGTTTTTGTATCCCAATAACTTTCAAAGATTGAAACTTCAAGAAAAAGCAACAATTTATACTTCGAAAGGTACCGTTGCATTCCTCGAAAAAAACGAAGGCTGATACAGGTATTGATATATCTTTTCAACGTATTCCTGCGAAGTCCCCTAAAGGTTCACCCTAGCATTATTGTGCCTTTTATTCCTTTGAAAACAGCTTTTAAGCGCAAACCTACTGCAACTGAAGTTTCTAGAAAACTGAAAGAGAAATGGAAAGAAATACCTCTGGAAAAGTTACAAAAGCCTTTCTATCCTGGAAATCAAGACGCAGGCTTGTAGCCCAGAAAGCTGTCAAATTGAACCTTTGAAAAATACCCTTTGCATTTTAAACATTAATTTAACGGGACCAAAATTTCAAAATGTGTAAACACCCTCAAGTAGCATGACAGTATTTGTAGTCTGTTGGAGAATTAAGAATAGGAATGTTACTCTCATTTCAGAAAACAACGTCACTTAGAACCGTCAAATTTTGAAAACAGTCTTCCATCTGAACTTTGAAATGCCAATGCTTTATTTGTTTACTTTGCACGAACTTATGTATATTAAGAAACTCTGCTATTCGTTATCACTAGGCAAAGCCATATTTCAGTTTAAAAAATTTAGTCACTAGATTTGACAATTTAAAGATAAATTTATTGCCATTGTTCAAAATAAAATATGTGGCAGTATGTTGTTGCTATTCGGCATGTTAGGAGTTTATATTTCTTTTAAATTCTGTCAAAAAATAACTAAATTGAATTAAAAACAGGAGATGGAGTTCATCTAATAATGATTACTAATTAGACACATGAAATTACAATAGCTAAACTCATTAAAGTTATATTTTTCCATTTTTATAAATACATTAAGGTGGCTAGTTTACCAAAAGTATCAAACGAAAAACAATGGAATGCTAACAGATAATGCAAAGACATCAGATGTAAAATAGATGCAGGCAGTAATTATCGTAAACACATAAAATTTTATTTTTGTATTTGGAAAAGAACTTAAGCATAAGGCATCCTAAGCATAAGGCATCCTAAGCATAAGGCATCCTAAGCAAAGATCTCCGAGGAACTTTCTTCTGCAAGGAACACTGAAAGATTGCCAACACAGGCAAAACTCAGATGAAAACTTTACAGTCATGTGATAAAATACCAACTTGAAATGTGAATGTTTCAAGCCAGGCAGGTTTTGATCTCTGCGGAAGAGGAAAGAATTCCAAGATTGATTTCAATAGTTAAATTCAAGGAAACGGGAGGCTAATTATTCAACATTTGTGTTTAAAGGTGAAAATTATCTTGGTGTAATCTCAGTTTCATCCGGTCAGTTCTTAAGAACTTAATTTACGTTCTCTCATCAAATAGCTCAAGATTTTCCCTTCAAGATGAAAAACGGAGAGCCGCAGAAACTTAAATTTTGATTTACTAATAGTTTAGTTCAAAATACACTGCATGTCCCATATATTTATGTCTACTCTATCAGAAAATAGGATTTCTGAAAAAAATGAATCGTCTATTTCTACTCTAAGACAAAAATAAAGTTCTAAAAATACGAAATAAAACGCAAATAATCCCAACCAACAAAATGCTTAAATGAAGTTAAAGCATTTCTTACCTCGTATTTTTTCAAGTCGGTTTGAAAAAGTGTCGTGCAGTCTATGTCAGCCAATGCCAGCTCATAGCGTGGTGGAGATACCTGAAAGCATATAGTATTGTACTAAACTAAGAAAATCATAAGAAATAGTCATTACAAAAATATGCGAGTCACCTCTGCCATTTAATATATTACAGTTAAACTCTGAAGTACAAGGGTTTACACATTTTAGTGGATTTCAATAATTCATTTGAAATAATCTAGGCAATCGATACAATGGTAAAAAATGTACTTGGATTAACAAAACTTGGAACATCATTATTTTGAAATAAATCCAGCAGACGAAGAGAATTTATGGAATGCGGTTATGGCTTCTTGAATCCTCGTTTTTATGTTTACATGATAGTCAGTTTTCCTGTTCTGAAGTAAGAATTACGAACTGGCTAAAAAATTGCATATTAATGATGAAGTTGAAAAAATCGGTTAAGGATGAAAATATCACGAGTGGTTAAGTAATATCGTACTTTTCGCTAATATATAATACAATTTGATGCAAAATTTGCCGGGAATGTTACGCGAAGACCAGCTTGCTGGGGCTCCCTCAACTTCGACCTAATTGAACTGACTATCAGTTTTAATAATTTCTGTGAAAAAAAAAAAAAGACTTTCAAACTCTTCAGAGACGATTTCAGGAGCTGTCTTGATGCTATCCATACAGCTGTCTAATACAGCCTTTATAACTATAGTGAGCGAAACTTAATAATTTGCGTATGTATTTTTGTATTGAAACAATTATTTGAAATCTTATTTTTGAAACGCCTGTATTTTCAGAGCAGCTGTTATGAAACATGGCGACAAAGGCAGTGAAGGGGCAGCATATACAAGCAAGGTTAATCTCTGTACAAGAATTTTATTTGGTGAACTTTCATGTCATAATGCTTTCAATACAAGAAATTTAAAAAATTTCTTTCAACTTCTATAGTTGATAGAACTGAATATAAATTCGAAGTCTGTTTAGTTCCCAGGTCACAAATGATGCAAACATTAAGATACAACTCCTTCCATTTAAAAACCCAAGATTAATTTCAGTTACTTTGTACAGCTAGTCTCTTGTTAAAGATATCAAGTACGTAATAAATTAAGAAAATTTCTTTCATGCGATATGTTTTTTTCTGTCATATTGAAAGTGTCCATCGTTTAGCAACTACAAAGAATTAAGGTGTTGGTGTATTTAATTATGGCAAAGCACACTAGGGCTATCTGCCTAAGGGGAGGGATGCCTTCGTGGAGGACTTTCTAAGGGAAACTGGCTCGTATACACGTTACACATGGGGAAAACCACGAAAACACCCATGCAGCCAGCCCGTTCGCGGGATTCGAACCTCGGACTGAACTATTAGTGTTCAGCGACTTTACCCCTCGGCCGCTGGTGGGCTTACAAAGAATTAAGAATTAATTCTTAATGTTGACTCGAGATAATTTTAACTTTTTAATTAGTCCTTTTGTTAATTGTTGAATCTTTTTCTTAATTCTAAAATAAGCTACCTTTAAACGAGTCTTGATTTCTTGAAACATAGAAATTAACTTGAATTTTAGTCTTCGGCTGAAGTAAAGATGAATTCGTAGCTTTACGTCTGAAAAATGTTCATGAATGTACAGTTCAGCAAGAGGCGCTTTTATCCAGTTTCGTGGTTACTCCTTTAAACTTTGAATGCTGCGTCGTTGTAAGTTTAAAGTTTGGACGTTATTATGAACTCTAGAATATTTGCTCAACTACATAAGCTTTCATAAACCAGAAAGATGATTCATAATTAAACTGAATGGTTTGGGTCTCTGGGAATTTGTATACAACTAGGTGGTTAAAACCGCATACAATTATCTCATTTTCTTCAGGCATAATTGGTGGAATTCATTATACAAGAACAAAATATTTTGAATTTAAAACAAAAATCTATATTTGCAAATTTTCTAATCATAAATTAAACTTAAAAAATTGGAAAACACCGAAACTCGTAAAATCACAATATGGCGAAACCACCCCGCGTAAAAAAAGCAAAAAATAAGTGTTTAGAGCTCCTATAATTTAGGTTAAAATAACAAGCCAAACAACTATTAATTTAGGAGTCAAAAAATAAAATTCAGCGTTATATTTGCAAAAAACTCCGATTTTTGTTGTACGACTCCTGAAATAATCATTCTTCGGCTTGTTATTTTCACCTAAATTACAAGAATAAATATTTAACACCGCTGAAAACTTACCATACGTGATTAGTGTCCAAGTTGATTTATGAAACTAACGTATGCACAAAGATGTCTTAGGATGAGCACACAATGCTTCCACTGAATAACAAAGAGGTACTTCGGATAAAATTTGTTTTGAAGTTCAGAATCTTGCGGAAGCCGAAAAATAAGAATGGTACTTAAAACTTAGTCTTAAGTGTAGTCTATAGAAGTACCTCATAATATATATAAATACAGCAATAATTTAACCTTTTTTCCACTAAAATTAGAAATGCATCTCAGTTTTTCTTCAGATATTAATTTTGGAAATTAAATGGAAATTGAAACCTACCTTATCTAGATCGCAAGATAGTAATTTAGGCCTCCGTAGATTGTGGTATTTTCTAAAATAGCCGATACCTGACGGAACAGAAATAATTATATATCAAGGCATGCAACATACACATCAGTAAAACCATATCGTATTTATAATAGCACTAAAAACAATCTGAATTTCCAAACTTATGTTAAATTATTTCGTTTAAAGTTATGCCAATTAGATACAATATAAATAAAGATTCAAATTGTTAGAAAATTTTTTGATTTCAACTCGATGACTAAGCCATTCCAAATAACACTGTGCTGAAGTGGCTATATGCCGGGCTTACATGGATCAGTTTTTATAGTTAATGGATCAGTTTTTATAGAGTCTTAAGGATTATGATGAAGTGAGCATTTCTGAAATTCACAATATCTAATTTCATAATTTGGGACGATCCCAAGACTGCTCAACCCTATGAATAAATACATTTAAGAGTGACAACGGTGTAGCATAGGTATTTATTGAAATTTGTATCAACTTAAAATTATGCCAATAGAGTTCTTGATACTCTTCTAGAGTTTTTTTTAGAGAAGACAGTTTATAAATAAGATACACTTTACTCAAACGGATACTGGCTCATTGGGTTACTCATTGTTTTGGCTTTTGCATTAAATTTATGAACTTGGATATTTATATAATCTAAGAGCTTAAGATTGCTTCTGGTATTAACAGCATCTTTGAAAGATTTTTATAATTTTATTATACAATGAAACAGGAAGCTATGCGCAGAAAGTTGCAGCTAAATGTTTTCCTTTCAAAGAAAAACTAATTTTCACGCTTCGGTGTCGCTCATGTGCGTCATTTAACAACAAAAAAAACCATAAGAATCGCGCCTAAACGTTATTACGCTAAGATAAATGTCATTGGAAAGTATGTCCTCAAACACTAAATAAAATATATTACCTCAAACACTATTTTGCATTATTACACCGAATAATCCAGGAAAATAAGTCCTCAAGTGCAAGATTTTGTTCATATTACCAATTTTTGAGTACGGCTTCCTCTGGTCTCACGACATGTGTATGTGTATTCGAGTTCAGACCACACCAGAGCTGTTTATGGCTATAAACGCATCGGTAACAAGCCCCTTTTCCGGGGAGGCATATAAGAATTCTGTACCGCGCCACGCGCATAGAGTAAAATCCATACTTAGGACATACTTTCCAATGACATTTATCTTAGCGTAATAACGTTTAGGCGCGATTCTTATGGTTTTTTTTTGTTGTTAAATGACGCACATGAGCGACACCGAAGCGTGAAAATTAGTTTCTTTGAAAGGAAAACATTTAGCTGCAACTTTCTGCGCATAGCTTCCTGTTTCATTGTATAATAAAATTATAAAAATCTTTCAAAGATGCTGTTAATACCAGAAGCAATCTTAAGCTCTTAGATTATATAAATATCCAAGTTCATAAATTTAATGCAAAAGCCAAAACACGACGATCTGGATCCAAGTGTAAAGGCACTGTGTACTAGTAAGTATATTATTACTGCAATTGTTAAATTCTGTTCCTTTTACATAGCAGGAAATATTTCCTTTGCAAAAGAATATGCATTTCCATCAAATTTCTAATATTCTGTTGCCTTAAATGAAATAAAAGGTGCATTCAGTATAGTGGCTGAATTTAATACAGGTGTATAAGAAACGAAACTCCTTTCTCTGGCAAACACAACTTTTATGCAAAGGTGTAAAAGATGATACACATTAAAAATGGGCAATTAAGTAATATTATTCCATTTAAAATAGGTATCTATTTCTCTGTTCCAAATCTATATTAGTCCAACTTCAAAAGTAAATTTTACCTTTTCAAACCGATTATAAATATTATGAATTTACTGTGTTAATCTTTCAACACCGTTTTTGGCTATTCTAGAAAACGGACTTCTGTCATGCTCTCTCAGATTGCATGTATAGGAAATGTATATATAATATACGTGGAATAATGGATTAATAATCACAACACCTTTAATATTAACGGTTTTAAAGTAAGAACACATTTATTAAAATTCTTTACAATTAATACACATTTACGGAGCTAGAGCATGAAGAAACTTTTTCTTTGGGCAAAAAAAGCCACATTTTTATATTAAATTCCCCACACCACAGAGTTGCAAGAAGTTTAATATCATAGAACCAAAAATACAACGCATATTAATAATCTTTTCGGTACTGCTATCAAAATGTAAGCAAACGGTATGGAAGTGTACTCTCAAGCCCAAGCAAAGTCAAGACGTTCCTAAACGTAAACGAAATGTCATCGCAAGCCAAATCCAATCACGAGGATTTTTCTTATGCGCGTGGCGCGGTACAGAATGCTTATATGCTTCCGGGATTCGAATATTGAGTGAGTTATTAGTGTTCAGTGCTCTCGTCCGTTCAGCTACTGACAGCTTGCAAATGACATGGTATTTTTAGCTATGTGACCGAACCGATATCGGAATTCCTTAAGATTGCTCCGAGATTCTCATTTTTTCGTGCAACAGCTTTAATGTTAATTACAAGTAATGTGATAAATAAGCTTAGAAAACGGTGCAAGAGCTAGAGTATTTTGTAATGAATCTGCTTACATTTTTCAAAGCAAACAATTTCAGATTTGGAGAAAGAAATGAAATATTTGCTTTAGCGAACTTAGAAATATTTTCGTGATGTGCAGCAATTCTTAAAAGAGCATCACGACCAGCACGTGGGTATAGAAGTGTCCTGAAAAGTTTTAGTACTCTGTTTATTATTGATCATTTATATGTATTTGTAACCATAAACTTTTAATTAACAGGCATTACCAATTAGATGTATATTGTTTCATTATTACATTTCCCTCGATACTCTACCTTATTTTCAAAAATACATGACACTGATCGTCATTTTAATTGATCAGGTACCTTTGAATACTTAAAAAGAACCAAATATTTTATGCTTTTATTTACACTTGATTTCTTACAATCATTTTAAAGCAAACTGAAGTAAAATTGCTCTTTAGAACCCTAGTTGGGATAAAACAGAGCCAAGTTTTGCCATTTGAATGAGCCAGATGGTTCCACATTTCCATATAAAAATTCCCCGAATTACAGATAAAATGCTTCCATTTGCAATTTTGTACAACTATATTGTTTCACACGAAAACCCGTATTAGCATAATCTTATATTTTATTTCATGAAATAACTTTCTTCCAAGACTTCAAGGTAATTTCAGTGAAGATTTTATAAAAAGGCCATTTTCCTTCTCGCATGCAGGATTTTCCGAAATGGCTAATTAGTATTAAAAATAAACGTTTTGAGATTCTTGTTCACAGACCTATATGCAAGAGCAATTATTCTGTTTGACGTAAGAACGTTCAGAATTATAATTAAATGTATAAACCTTAGAAAATCCGAGTTCTCACTTGTCAACATTTAAATAATATTCGTTTTATGCGATACTGTTTAAAATACGTACTTATGTATACTTACAAACTTTAAATATATTTAATCAATATTTAGAATGTACACTGACAAGATTTTACCTTCAAAATTTCTCTAATTTTGCTGCTTGCGGATAGAATTTCTCCGAAAACTGATGAACTTGTGAAATCTATGCAAGTATAAAACTAATCAACTATGAAGCTTCTCGTATAAATCCTTAGAAACTTTAAATCAAGAATGAGTCTAGTTTAGGCTCACAGAACTAATCAATTATTTTAAGAAAAAGTCAACTACATAAAAAATAGGTTATTTTAATATTTTTACAGCTTGAAACAAAATTAACTAAATACAGAGATTTAGTTATCCATAACGCTGTGTATAGTGCGCGTTTCAATTTAACGTCGATAAAAGAGGTATTCTTTTTAAGATAGTTTGAAGAAAATCACAACGGGATGCAATATAAACGATATCGAAATATATATACAGAATTTTCCATTATAAAGCAGTTATAAAGAGATTAATCTGCAAAGCACTCAAGGACTATCGGCATAAGTTACATAAGGCACTTATGACATTAAGAAGCTTAACTACATTGCTTACGCCGGAAAGCCTGGCACAAGTTTGGAAGGTTCTCCAAGTTTCAACGCTGACGGAAAAATACAAATATTGGTTAACCTTCAGTATTTACGTAGCTATGTCACTCACCTGGGTATGGCATGTGTACAGTTGTGAATCCTACGTAATACTTCTGGTAAGCTTCACAAGAATCCGCGCTGTAAAATAAGCTAAAGTTAGAATGCACTAGCTGGATTCTGTATTGGTTCAGAAAGAAATATCAAAATAACTTACAAATTAGGAAAGCTTTTGCTTGTGTCTCTTACTCTCAAGTCACAAATGTAATTCACATCCAAGTATTCCAAAAGAGCAACGTCCATTTTTATTTCACTAAAGAATTTCATGTTCCTGTAAGAAATAAATGTTACCGCATTTTTAACCTATCCAGATTAATTCATGTCAAAATATACCATGTATCTGAAATCAAAAATTAAGCGAAGACTTAACATTGGCAACAATTTTGAGTAAATTGGTGATTTCGAGAACAATCAGATAAAGCATTCTTCCAAGAGGAAAGGTATTCTGAAACAGAGGCAGGACAATAATCTTACATAGAGTCCAAAGGACAGGACAAATCCAAATGAAATTCTAGGCATCTATTAAGAAAGGAATTAAAAGGTGCTTTGAAAGAATTAGATTGGAATTAGTATCATTAAAATTGATAAATGTTTGCGAATGTAAAGTACCTGAAGAAATCAAATTTACCTAATCGAACTACCAGTACCAAGCTTTCTTATCCACACGACCACCGATAGAAATGTTGAGAAGTATAAAAGGCATTCTTTCATATAAAGATTTAAAATTTTATATATTGCAAATAAAAGTTATTCAATGAGCAATTAATGATTTGCAATAGATAAATAAGCTTACTTATATCTATAAAACTTAAGGGCAACTCAGAATTGATGGAGCAAAAGCAAAAGTTGCGACTAAAATTTTTAAAGATCTTATTTCAGAAATACAGCGATTCAGCTGCACGAAGAGATCGTCATTTAAGAAGTGCCCATAAGAGGCACCGATAAAGTAAAAATGATAGAGGAAAAAAATTTTTAATTGCGAAATAAATCGGAACAGAAGGGCTACTTTTGCAGAAAGGCTATCCATTAACAAAACTGTACAAAAACTGCACCATGACTCATCTACGAAACCTCAAAGAATTCGTCATGTCGCAAGTAACATTTTGGGACTCGTTGCACAATCATCGACAGCTCAAGCCTTACAAATTTCATTTAGTACAGGTGCTAAAACTTGCTGACAAACCAAAACGGAGAAAGCTTTATGTAGATTTATAACCTCAGCTGGAGGTGGAATAATTCCACAGCCAGATTCATGTTAACCACATAAACGAGGTTTTACTTTTGTTGCAAGTGGACTTGGAACTCTAAGTTTTGATTATTAGATTACAGAAAAGGGAGGAACGTCTTCAGGGGAAATTGGCTCGTATCCGTAAGAGGAAAACAAAATCTCATTCAGATATCCTTGCGACTCTTAGAGGTTTGGGTGCGGTTTATTTAAATACAATGAAGTACTGGAGGGCTTATCAGCTTAAGGAAAAAGATGCCTCCGTGGACGACTTCCTTTCCTCGTAATTTGAAGTTGCATCTGAGCATATGCATTCAGGGATTTTAGCGCTCGCCTTGCGCTTCATTTCGATTCCGAGCAAGTTACCAGTGTTGAGCAGTATTACGTACTGCCGTTGGCAAGCTTTTACGACACTGCACATCTACATGCCAAACTGGGTAATGAATGCATTTCTCTGAGGATAAACGTACTTCCGATAAAACCAGGTTAAGTCTTTATTCTTTGCGCATTCGCAACTCGGATAGCATATCGGAGTGTGTTACAGCGTTCATTTACATCGATATGCTGTCAAAGCGGTTATTGCTCACACTGAAAAAGCACCCAAAATTTTGCAACATGATGCCCCATCACGTTAGCAGATCGCCTCAATGAGCATTTTTCAAAATGGATTTCTCACGTTGATTCCAATAATGTGCCATATTTTTTAACATCGCGAGCCACCGGACAAAACGCCTATATATTTTCCTTCGAAAAGGCGAAGGCCTTCCTATACCCTACAAGACTAAGGCAGACAAGGCAGCAGATAAGCGATGCGATCGACTGATTCGTTACAAATGTGAAAAGACCTAAATTAACAACGACGTCTGCCGTGCTGTGAGAAAATCTAGTATCTGGGAAGGTTTCTAGAAATTTGAAGAATCAAATGATTTCTTCGGATAATACATTTTGGATTTCTCGTTCACATAAAAAAGTAACTTGTTAAGAGTAACCGAGAATCCCACTGAAGAACGTATGAAACTCTGGTTTAGATTTCCCCTCCCTCCCAAGTACTTTACGATTCGAACTATAGGGCTGATTCGTGCAGCATTTCCAAGTTACAAAATTTTTTTTTAGTTACAATGAACTCAACAGAGAGGACTGGTTGTTAATGCTGTCATAACGTTTCTAATTTTATATACATTATCCTCGACACTGATATCAAAATTTCATCATTGTATTTTGAAAGCATAATGCAGACTGAAAAGCTAATAAAATCCATATTTTATAAACTTTTAGCACATGATATTGAACTTGAAATTAAGAATTTTTGTATAAAAATATAAGCTGTTTAAACATTTCTGTTAATCTTTGAAAATGGATCTCAAATTTGTTGGCATCTTTAAGGACTCGTACCCTCAAGTAACTGGCCGCTCTTTTGCAAAAAGTGATTAGGAAACACTATCACTTTTCTACCTTACCTAGTGGTTACATTTTCTTGCGACATTGAAAGCTTACATGGACTTTTAAAGTCGCCATTATAGTTTTACTAACTAGAGCAAAGCACGTGAGGGTTGCTTGAAAACCATGGTATAGTTAATCCAGCATTTGAAGACAGGTTGAATTATCAATGTTCCATGCGATCACAGCGAGCACTCTAGTTATAATTTGTAAGTCATAGCTACTCGTTTTAGAGACTTCGTAAATTAACTTACCTCATGAAGAAAGCTGCAGTGGCAATATTTATCTGGAATATAAAGTCACTTGCTTGAGAACCTCTGAAAAAAGAATAGGTCATTATTATTGCTGGTTTTAATTACACAAGATTCTTGCGAAGCACTCAGAAATATACAAAATAATAAGCGGAGGAATTTGGAGCTGTTCTCCAAATCCGATTGATGCTATTCCATAGTTAGTAAAGACAGATTTGGAAAGATAATAATGCAAATGCATATTTAATGCACTTCATATCTTAAGCAATACATACGGTCACAAACTAAATTGATAAACTGAAGAAGACTGTTCTAAATTTAAAATGCTAATCTCCATAGTATTTCCGATTTTTTCACCTTAATGAGGTCATAACAGGCAATAAAGTAAAATATTAGTTTACATCCGTTGCTTTCGTTACATTTCTTATTACACTGCATCATAGTCGACTAGCATTTTGGCGCTTCCATACGCTAGCGCGTTCATTTTACATTTTCATATCACATATATTCGATGTTCATCTATTAGCTGTTCAGAATTTTACTTTATAATTTTTACAAGTTTCTTCAAGGAATTTTGTACCTGATTAAATCTTAAAACAAAATTTAAGATCCGTGATACTGGTTAAGTATGACGGCCAACAAACAGTGCCTCAAACTTTGGCTAGCATTGGCAGAGGGTATTAGGTCTGTAACAAAATTATTTTTTATCGGTGCCCAAGAGAAGTATTTCCGTATGTTATTTTTACACGAAAAAATTAAGTGAATGTACCAATATTTCACATTGTGTAGGAGATTTTTCTCCAGAATTACCAGCCCACCAGTGGCCGAGTGATAAAGTCATTGAACACTAGTAGTTCGGTTCGATATTCGAATCCCGCGAACCGATTGGTTGCATAGGCGCATTCGCGGTTTTTCACCAAGTAACTTGTATACGAGCCAATTTCCCTTAGAAAATCCTCCACGAAGGCATCGCTCCCCTTAGGCAGATAGTCCTCGAGGCTTTGTCATAAATGACATAAACCAAACCTCAAGTATTACCCTGTTTTTTCGGTCCCTATTACTCAGGTAATAAAAAAATGCCCGATATATTCGCTTTAAACATGGTAAACGAAACATGCAGCTACTCCATCTACCAGAGTTCGAACCCGAAACAGATATTTAGCAACCTTTAACCGCTCGGTCACTAGCGAGGCATTTTAAAGGTTTCATTTGCATGCAGGATATGCATGTGCCACTGATGAAGTATCATTTTCATTACGAACTGCAACTACTTTATAGCTTGTTTTTGAAGAGCTAACGAGTTTTCCTCATTGAGGATGAGCTGGAATCTACACTTAACGAATGCACGTCATTTCAGTGTAAAAAGCATCTTTCTGGAATCTCTTATATTTAGCAGAAATAAAATATGAAGCCTTTTCTAACATACTTATTTTTAAATCTTGATCGACGTCAGTAAGATCCTTCAAAGAGCAGTCGTGCTTTTTCAAAATCTCTTGTTTGTAGCAATGAGCTTTGTACTAATTTTAATCATTTTTAGAGGAATATATTTACAGGAAGAGAAAAAGACGCACGAATTTGAATAAACCACTAGATGCTTTTCTTAAAGACTAATTTTCGGGAAAAACTTAACCCTAGTTTTAAATATTTTAAATTACCTCACAAAGCGTATTTGTAAAGTGTACAAAAGAATTACCTCACAAAGCGTATTTGTAAAGTGTATAAAAGAATTACATTATGCCTTTATAAGAAAGCTATATTACTGATTAATTCATGAATGATGAGTCATTTCGATTCACAAGAATTATGGATCAGAATGGTTTGGCTTATGATAAAGGATGCGAGAGCAATCTGTTTATGAGAAGGAATGCCTTTGTGGAGGAATTTCTACGAAACGTTGTTTCTATCTACGATACACTTAGAGAAAACCACGAAAACGCCTATACAGCCAGCCTGTTCTGTTGCTATCAGACCCAGGCGAATTGCCAGTCGAAGTTAGCACTCGGCCAGCTCAAAAAAGAAATCTTATGCCTTACAATGTAGGGACTTCGAATGCCACCGCTTTATTATGTAGAAAAATTTCTACATAATCAATTCATCAAAATTACATATCCATTTAAATTTTGTTTTCTATACAAAGCCATTTAACGGTTATGTTTAGTAACGATATCTAGTCAATTAAATAGCAAATTAAAAATAAGATATAACTCAACGTAGTTTTTAAAATTGTGTACAAGCAATCAAAACTGCACATCAACACTCACTGTATGCAGTTACAAACGTACACCAAGCAAAGGTATTCGATTCAATAAATAATTTTTTGGAGTCTACTTATGTTCCTAATAAAAGTTTCAGTTTTATGGTTATCAAGCATTGTACAGAAGACCGACACTTCTAATAATATTGCTTTTATTTGTATTGCTCTTTTATTGTTTGTTGTTCAGTTTTTGTATTGAATTTTTTGGTCAGATCGTATTTCTTTTGTTAAGGAGTTTACTAGGGGAATTAAGCGTAATCACATACCTAATTCTTCCAGTGTAAACATCAATATCACTGGCATAATACACTAAAGGAATTGTTTCTTTAAAAATATATCTATGAATTACATTTTGTATGAGTAACTAAGCCATTCTATATTTGATAAGCAATACAGGGTTAGGGAATATTAATTAGAATAATTCTGCGTATTCTCGTAAAAATAGTACATTAAATAAAACTTAAATGTTACCTGTTGAATATATTAAATTAGGAAGATTAAACTTTATTACATTCGTTGCTTTTAAATGACGTGAAACAATAACATTAAATTCGAAAAGATGAAAATGTTTTGCTAGTTGATTCTGGTAGAGTTTACCGAGAACTGTCTAGGCACCGAGAAAAATGACTGCATGGTAGGAATATTTATGATTGTATTAGTTACACATTAGAAAAATTATGAAAACAGTTATAAAGCTAGCATCTTAGCAGGAAATGAACTCAGGTGGAATTCTTAATGTTTAGTGGTCTTATCCACTCAGGCATGTTATGACATATAAAAAGGAGATGACTAAGGATCGACTATTTGTACTCAAGTCTAGTTCTGATAAGAAACAAAGTAGCCTAACGTAACAATTTCACAATTTTTGGAAAGAATCAGCTTAGGACGTTTCTAAAATTAAAAACGTTTTATACTAAAATAATCAGCTCATGGAAGTAGTAGTAAAACATTCAATTTTAAATGATTTAAGGTTTTCCCGAATGAGAAAAACAATTCGAAACACATTAAATTACTTACTCTTGCTTTAGAGTTTCATCCATATCTGTTGCCACCGAAAGGACATCCAGTGAACCAGTACGAGAGAGATACTAAATTTCGATGAAAAGCGTTAGATCAAATAAGAAATTTTTAAGTTAGACGTGACACAATAAATTGACATTCAATGTGGATTAAATATGGAATTAATATATTTTCAGGTATGTGCAATAGGTTTTGGGTAATCTACTAAACGCAGAAATATTTAAGTTACTGCAAAAGTAGTTACATTAAGACCGCTAATATGCAAATTTTAAACAAGTCTTTTCAAATTTAGTTATGTCTAAAATTAATACTGTAAATTAGTTAATTTTAGACGTTACCACACCGATTAAAATTGGAAATTTTCAAGTAATGTGAAATGTAGTCTTTAGTTTGGAAATGCATTTTAGATGCTACACTATTATAAACAACTTCATATGCATATGGCAGACTTAGCGAAATGACATCTTTAAATTTAGGAAGTATGAAATAATTACTATAGGAAAAATCTATAAAGCAAATAAGACGCTGAATAGAGGTACCGTTTATAAAGAAAAGAGTATAGGAGCAAGGCTTACAGCTGGAAACATTTTAACCCTAGTTGAAGATTGAATTCCTTTCTAATCAGGAAATTTGACTACTTTATTTTCCAGAACCATCTCTTATTGTGTATTTTACGTTTAAAGCAGGCGTTCTTACTTTTTAAATTTCGTAACACTTTAGAACAAATACATACCATAGAGTACTAATTTGTACCAAAAGGAGCGTCATTACATTCATTTGAACATTGATTTTTATCTTGGGTAAAGATTTTAAAGCAAAAATAGCATTTTGCTTTAAAATCGTTTAAAGAGCTTCAATGAAATTAATCTTAGTAAATTTATCGATCTAATTTCGGCAGTATGAGCAAGTAAAGGAATTCCGAACTCTCACCCTTCAGCAGCGTAACATTAAAAGTCTTAAAAAACGAAATATTAAACATTAAAAGTCTTAAACTAATTATGCGAATCCACAATTTAGGTAGCTAATAGCACTAATATGCTCACTCGAATTTTAGAGTCCAAAACATTCAAGTCTGGTTTCCTAAATAAGGAGTATGGTTCCAATTCTATTAATGGTTTCTAAAAATATATTTTCAACAGGTCCACGATCAAAGATTAGCGTCTTAAGAACACTTGAATTATGTTATTCAAATGTTCAAGTTTAGGAACTATTTGCAAGATCCAGATTGATTTGAAGTTAGTTTAAGATTGGTGAAGCAAACTACGGTTATCTACCTGAGGGATGAGAGGGAATTTGTAACGAAAATTGGCTCATTTATATTATACATGGGGTAAACACTCTGCAAGTCCGTTCGCATGCAGGCCGAATTACGAGTATTCAACATTATTATCCGGGCATTGGCTGAGCCTAGTAGTAGGATGTTAAATTGCGAAATGCAATGCCGTGGTCTCTTATCCAATTTATTTACCCAATCTCGTATCCAACATTTGCTAGCGGTCTTCAGATCAATAGCCCAGCATTTACGTTTAAAGAGCTCATTCTTTAGATATGAATGCCATCAATGCTAAAGCGATTCCTCAGCTGTTAAAAGCCACATTTATTCTTCTGAAACGCATTCAAGCGATTTTCAGACATAAACAAATCTGGACCGTATGATATTTGATTCAAATTCCGAACTTTTATATGGGTTTTGGTAATAAAGTTCGCGACATCAACTGGCATTGGTATTTATTAGATACCAAGTCTTTATTGGAAGTTCATCACCCCAAGCCATTGCCCTGCAGATAAGTTCTTTCATACGATTGTTCAGATAGATGTAATCTAATGTTGAAACAATTTTTCCGAAGCACTGAATCATCAATCTTAACCATCCAATTTCTGTTTTCCCATAAAAGTTAAGACTACTTTATTCAGGTTACTGGTATCTGTTAAAAAATGTCTACATTTTAGGTTAGATTTGCACACTGTTTGGATGATTTACTAATCCCAAGAATATTCGGAAAGGCTGATAAAAGATCAGCTTCTAACTTCGACTCGAAGAATTGTGATTGAAATCAAACTCGGATTCAGCTTTTCGTATCTACGATTATAGATTTTGAAATAAACTTAAATATAAATTTGGGGTACTATTCGGTTTCGAGGGCCGTAAAAAAATTGCAGCGAAAATGTGCGCGCAAAAGCGCCAAATCTAACAAACGCGCCCATTTAACAGCGCGCCAAATGTAGCGTACGCGCTGATTTCAGATTGCGTAAGTTTATGTAGTTCTATATTTCTTAAGATGCCATTGAAATACTAGTTTAATTTTTAAATCCTTTTTTGATAACCTATGGATTTAACAATTTGGGAATTGCCCATGACGAAAACTCGGCAATAGAATTTTGGGTAAAGTGAAGAATTCCCCACTGTTTAAAGCGTTTTTAAGAATTGCACATACTCTGGATCCATGTGCACATCTACCTATTTTCACTTAAAAAAAATCCTAGAATTGCACAAAAATGGCACTGCGCACACTCTTGACTATCTATGTACACATCGACCTATTTTCACTTAAAAAGTAAAAGAAAATTGACAAAAATCCAATTGTTTTTACCCTTGTAAAAAGCGGCAAACAAATAAGTGAGTGATTCTGCACTTTACCGAGAATATTTTCAAAGAAAAGGCATCATTCATTATAGAAAATTACGTTTGAACAACCAACGAGATGAAATCATGCTTTAGCGATAAGTCGGTAGCGAAGTAGCGATGCAGGCATCCATTCAATTAGGTTTAGCAATTTTTATATAAATTATAATAATGATCTGAAATAGTTATTTACTCTTATGCTTTCATTCAGTCATGTTTAGCCTTTTTCATATAAATTATAATAATAAAAAGTATTATATGAAATTAACCTTTCATCTAAATTAAAACATCAATCTTAGATAGTTATTTACTATTATACTTCCTTTCTTGCCGCAATTGTTAGGGTTGCCGCAATTATTTTTGGCAGCATTGGCATCAATAGTTTGGCGATTTTTTACGGCCCTCGAAACCGAATAGTACCAAATTTGGTTTCATTATGTACATTCATTATTTAGACCCATGTTAATATGTTAGTTAAATTTCTTCACCTAAAAACACTAAAATATTTACCACGTTGGTGGAAATGTCGAGGCTTTTGATTGGTGTACTTGTGGCCATTATTGAATACTTAAAATTATATCGATATACGAGAAATTCGTGGAGAGAACTGTATGGAATTAAAAATAATAAATAAGTAATATTAAATACAAGAACATATCCCTTTAACTAGGAAACGGAATGTTAAAGTATTTAGGAGTAATTAAAGCAATATTTGAGGAAATCACACGCCTTTTAATTTCGAGAATAATGTACGTTGCAAAACAAACATAGAAAGGGGAATTTTAAACAATTCAAAATGGAAACTCGGTAAGTACAAACATATTCAATCTTGATACAAAATTTCCGCAAAAATATTTCTAGATCATATATTCTGCTTTTCCATATTTTTAGCATCAGGTTGTGGAAACTGCATGCCAAATATTCTAGCCGTAATCAATTATATACAGTCATTCCAAGGCGTCAAATTTTCACTACCTGGCGACGATATTACTTCTATTGATGGAATAATATTTAAGTATATTTTTATTTAAACGTTTTTAGATTTGAATTGTGAGAATACGGGTTTAGAAGCTAGATATAAAAATGAAACGTTGCTGAAAGATTCTATATTCTTTCATTTTATATTTCATTAACTGTTTGGCTGAGACTTTAATGTAAAAATAAGGATAACATTAAAGTTTCTAATACATATCGAACTGAAATGTACAAATTTAAATAAGGTGATATTAAACTAAAAATTGACTTACTTTTCCATTCCATAATATTGTTGGGACAGGAAACCGTTTATTCATTCTACAAGCTTGCGAACTTTTAAACATGTTCTCATAAAGTCCAGCTTGGAAACTCCGAGAGCTGTAATTAAAATGGAGACGTTGTTTCAGCAAAAGGCGGAATAATTTCAAGATCTTGTTTAGTTTAATAAAATAAAAAATTGTACTCTACTCTCGGTCATCTTTGCGGAAATTTGCAGAATCAGTACAAAATGAAATTTTAAACTTTGCAATTATTCTACGAAGTATGAAAGCAAACTATGTAAGAAGTGATTTTTAATGGGGTTACTTCCGAAAAAGTATCTTTAGATTACAGAAAGACGTATTAGAGGAGAATATATTTCGGATAACGTACTAAATGTCTTCAGAATTTTAATTATTGTCTAGGAAAATGTTTATTATTGGGTATTTAATTTCATATGTGCGAGTATGTAGGATAAGGGTTTTCTTGAATATATTTAGCAAGCATTTAAACAGCTGAAACTATGCTTGAAGCTAAAATAAAATATCCCCAGTGTAAGTTCTGAAATTCCTGAATAACTTTCAGAAACTCAAAATACTCCACATCAAACTTCCAGTTTCAAAACACTTCAAGATACTCAACATTTTATCAACAATTGATAATAAACTGATCTAGTTTTGTGTTTACTGCATTCGAAATTTATAGTATCGTCCGATTTCATTTAGTCGTTTCTGCGCTGTTATACATACGCAGAATTCACCAAGGCTTTTCCCACTATTAATTGCATAAAGAATTGAGTATACATCAAGGAAAGTTACCTTATTCTGAATGATTTCCTGCATCACTTGATTGGATATTAATTTTTCTCAACATATCAATTAACAATTTTTCTGCAAAGGTATTTTCCACGTCAATGAAAATTGTAGTCACAAACTGTGGCGTTTTATTAGAACAAATCTCATAATTACAGACTATAAAGCTTTAGATTCTTGAATTTCCCAGAAAGAACAATTACTCTCTTGTGGAGTTTATATTCCTTGATGTAAATCTTGAAAAATGCACTCGACTACGTTAAATTAGACGTTCTTAACATCTATTTACATAACAGTCTTCTGTGTAAAGAACAGAAGTTGTCGTTGCTACACAAATTTATAAGTTAGATATGAGAAGTGGTTTGCTCTTTCAGTAAGACATTTGCTGAGGTTTCAGATGCAGTTTAAGTAGCTCTAAATTTGAGTAAATTCGGGTTTAATGTATAACTTATACTAATCTAAATCTTATTCTAGTATTAGATCTTTTATAAAAAAACTTATTTGGTAGGCTTTGGTTAAAATCATTTGAATTTTAGCAGATTTTTTAAGTTCACGTTTAGAATGTTAAATATGCAAACATTTGAATCGCCTTAATTTAGAATTTACGACAACAATATTCAATCATATCCTGTTTCAGGACAACACGCAATAAACAGTTCTCTGAAAAAAAGTTCACCAACATCGCCCATTGCCTTCTGTTAAATGTGTTACTCCCTACACCGATAACAGTTCTTTTTCCAAATTAAGTACTGCCAATAAAGTGTTTTAGAGTATCATTCTATTTTATTTTCTATTACTGAATTAAATAAACGGAAATTTTAAGATTTCCAGAAAAATATTATATTCCAAACTATTTAGTGAATTTTAGCATGCCTTGTTAAAAGTTATGTTGAGGCATATAAATTTGAGGAAACTGTAGGAGGCATGTTATTTAACGGAAAATAGCCCATTATGTTTCCTTGCGTAGTTAAAATATTGCATTTATTAATTGAATATTTTTTCAGAATAAGATGCTATTTAGGAATCGTATTTTAATCTCTAAAATGTATCGGATAGCATTGAACCTGCTAATGGCCAAAGATTCAAATTAGCTTTTTATTCAATTTACGATCCTTGTTTTAGGTTAATTGCTTAAAGGAAAGCAACTCCAGGGATATTTATGGAAATGGATGCTTTCTTAGAAGGAAGGCCCAGCAGTAAAGTCGCTGAACACTGGTAGTTCGGTCCGAGGTCCGAATCCCACGAACGGGCTGGCTGCATGGGCGTTTACCCCATGTGTAACGTGTATACGAGTCAGTTTCCCTTAGAAAGTCCTCCAGGATGGCATCCCTTCCCTTAGGCACATAGCCCTAGTGTGCTTTGCCATAATTAAATAAACCAAACCAAGCTTAGAAGTAAACTCGCTTGTATTTACGTTTGCAGCCAAATACTTCGCCAAAATTACAAACCCGGTTAAACTGCCTGTGTTCAGCGACTGAATATTGCATATGAATAAACAATGATTGTATCTCCATCGCTCGGTCGATGGTGGAGACTACAATCATTGTTTATTCATAAGCAATATTCATAATTTTAGAATAAAACTCGTTAAATGAATTAAGAGCAAAAATTGCTGAAATTCAGGCAAAGCGCTATTAAAAACTCCTGTGTAATAAATCTTAACCAATGGCAGGTTCCACAGATTCGAGTGCTACAAAGTAGGTTACGTTCATCTATATGGAACAAAATTAAACATGCTTTTTAATCACTCTAAAGTACATGCATGCTGAAGAAGTTTGAAGTCGCTAGTTCATGGATTAAGCATTATGATTCAAATCCTTAATTCTGAAAAAATATGTTTCGGTTATATTTGTTAGAGAAAAAGTAAGCGATTAATCACGAACATTCTTAAAATATGCAAATCAATCGCACAAAATTCAAAACATTATTGGGAGATGATTACCTGTCGTCGGAACTTTGTTGTCCGGGAATGGGTTCTTGTTCGGCAATACCTGTATTCTCCTTTACAGGAATAATGAGTTTCGCTGGATAATGGGCGCTGCGATTTTCACAATTAGACACCACCTGTCATTAAGATTTCGAATTTAAATATTTCTTATATTATGCCATGGACAATTTTGCTTCAACAAAGCTGGAAATTATCAAATGGCTAATTTGTAGCCAAAAATAAGGAAATCTAGAATTGCATACGATTCTAAAAGCATTTGGGGGGAAACAATCAACTCACTTGACAATTGTAATCTTTACTGAAAAGGATCCGACAGCATTCGAATGCTCTTTCATCCTCCTGCAAAAGTGAAAACATTTAAGCAAGAATTAAGATAGCTCTAAAATTATCAGTCTTATTATCAGAATAAGAATTTGCAAGTGATGCAAATTTCGACTCATCGAATAAATTAGACAATGGCTATATTTCATAAAATCTAATTTATGAAACATTCAATGGTTACAGATTATTCCAAGGAAAAATATAGTAAATCAGTGCTAGGAGTAGGTTTTATGAAAACGGTGTGTTGCATAGCTAGGAAAATCTCGGTTAAATATAGAGTACAAAAACATTCGATCTATTCACATCGTAGCAGAAATGAAATCAGACTATTAGCTTCTCATAAACTGCCATGAAACAAACCTTTTTATCTATATATGCACATACCTTCAAAGAATGGGCTATATTCCTTTGCTTGAACTGTGAATAATATTATGAACTGTGAAATCATAATATTTGTTATATTTTTATTCAGAAGGGCAATTAAAGAGTTATTTTAGTACGTTTTCTTTGCCCAAGTGATTTACAGATTTCTACTTTGAATAAAAATTTTCAATTAACTGTTTTATAACACTTCGATATTTTAAATTCACAAAAAATGTGAAACACATGATTTTTCTGCCATATCCTCATTTGGAAAAAGTTACAATTTGAAAGTTTAGTTAAATAATTTCATTATGCATATTCATTCCGCAATTGATTAGTTATAAATGAAGTTCACCAATTAATATCTAAAGGGGGATTTAAGTTTATCGTGAAAATCTCAAAGTTCTGAAAAATTCCGCATATAAATGAACTGAGTAATTAAAGAATTCTACCTAACCAGTGACTGATTTCACATATAAAATTTCGACGAGAGTTATTAATTAAAGCAAGAATAACTTGTCTTTATTAGAAAGAGTTTTACCGTTTCTGAAAAATATATTTTAAATTCTAAACATTTTACTACGAAACCTTTGTTTACCTCCTTTCCACGTTTGATCAATTTACATGAAGTGTAATCCAAACAGGTAAAGAATAAAAAGGTTCGTAAATTATTTACACTTATGTTAATCAATATTACGTATATTAAGCTTTTAACACTATTTAATATTATTAACTAACGACTATGACAGTAAGAGCCATTGATTACCAGAAAATAATAACAGTTTTAATCAGAATTTCGAAATGCTAATCGAAGAGAAATATAAAATTTATTACGAAAAATCTCATAATATACATAACTGAAAGTAAATTAAAAATTCTGGATTGCGCTAATCTCATACGTTTGGCTACAGTAGGTAATGTGAAAACGTTTAGGACTGCAGTATTTTGGGATAATTTAAGTACCTTCCCATAACTTAAATACAAGGATTTTGTAACAGATTAAAACTTGTTCGCAATACCTCATTATAAACAGCTGGATCGTAGCGATGGCTTGCAGCCCGTTCGAATATAGCTGCAACCAGTCTTTCATTCACAGCATCTCCGGTATCACGACTTGCCATTTCAATTACCTGAATTACAGAAGAATTAAAGCCAGTGTAAACAAACTGAAGAGATAATCTCCAAGTCAAATACTAAAGCAAGTCACCTAAGCGAGATGCTTGAACATTAGTATTACGAGATCCAGTTTATTACTAACCAATGAGATTCATTATGCAAATTTTGCAACCAACTTCTATATTTTAATTAACATTAGCGTTTAAAATATGTTACTAAAATTTGTTTCTCAATTTATTATCTAAATTTTTAAAGATGAAATGGTTTTATTTCATCCAGTAACATATTTTCAGTCTTTTTTTTTTTTTTTTTTTAGTAAAACCTAATGTAGTTTCAGAGGAAATAGAAATTATCATTTCGAATTAATGTCTTGAAATGTTAATGATTTCATCTCCAATGTTTTAATACTCAGTTTTAGAAAATAGCAACTCATTTAAACATAAATGCAAGTAAGGATATCTATCATAAAAGTTATCGTTACCCAACTGTAAATTAAGCAAACCACTTTTTAGTGTTACAGATGATTGTTACACTGCAAGTGCATTTTAATTTCAAAGTGAAAGTTACTTCTTCTTTTTTTGTGAATAATATAAGTTTTTGAAACTTTTCTAGCTAACATATTTCTTTTTCCGCCTTGTCTCTCTTCGTATTGTATATATAAATACATGTTGACTGCATAGTTCAGAATAATGATAAATGTTGGAATATGTCATTGCATATCTATATTTGTCAATATATCATGTTGAACATCCGAGACAAGGGGCAACAAGTTTGCAATTTGTAGTTTTTATCAAGTAATGTCGATGCATGTCCAGAATTAGAACACTCGCGATAAAAGAAATCATGCTATTATATTAAGAAAATTTCACTCACATATATTAAGAAAATAAAATTGTAATTGATAAACAGTTAACATAATAGTTTGGTACAATAATTTCAGCTCATGTCAAAACATTTAAATACGTGATATGGTATGTTTTAAAAATCGAGAAAGTATTTAAATGATAACGTGAGATTTTCAAAAAGCCATTTTTGAATTGCAATACTTTTGGAAAGGTTCTCCTACAACAAAGTAGTACGAAACGGAGAGTTCTACTGCGGCATCTCAAACTGGAGGTTATCCCGACGGCGATGTAACATAAAGAGTGAAGAGCTTCGATTGTTAATTATTTATTATGACTGAGCCATGGAGCTGCTTCTGTTTTAGTAGTTGGTAGGACTTTATAGTGTCGACTAAGTGGTGACTAAGCGTTGGAAGTAAAGAAACTTTTAATCCAACAGTCTACTCTTTTTCGCCTATTATTTTTAATTGTGCAAACTCTTGTATTTATTTATTTATTTATTTACTTATTCAAATTCTAGCAACAGTGATGTTCCAAAATAATATTTATATTCTTTGAAGTTTAATGACAGGAATACTAATAATAGCACACAGAAATTTGTTTTATTTGTTTCAAGCACGATAAAGTTTCAAATCTTCAAAATGGTCATCATTGGCCATAATGCATAGTCTGTCGAACCCGCTGTCTCAACTGCAACGCCTGTAGAAATCATATCAGCTATTTCAACAAATAACGGATATGATTTCCACAGAAAAGAAAATAAGGTTATTTTCAGTCGCATGTCTTTGAGAGTCCGAGATTTCGTGAAAATATGTCACATACCCTCCACGAGTTCTTCGGTCGTTGCTGTTCTCTTTCTGCCACGCCATCCTTTTTTAACATTACACATCATTTTGTGCCATCCAGGGCGCGTGTCTTTTCTCTGCGATTTTGTGAAAGTCTGTAATACAGCCTCCACAAATCTTTCTTTCATTGCTGTTCTCTCCCTGTTGTTCTTTTATCGCATTACACACAATTATTGTTGGTTCATAGTTGTTTCATAATATTGCGATCGTGCCTGTTTGTTAACACGGTAGTAACGAACCGGTTGCCATGAACTTGTGCTTGGCTTCAAAGTCCGGAAAATGCGCGGATATTTCTCAGTGCGGAGTGCCTTTATCGATTTTGGCTCTTAAAAACTATCGAACTGAGAGTTTTTTCGAGTAATTGATGTTACCGAGTTTGTCGAGTAGTTGATGTTGGTTGGGAGACCCTCAAATCCATCGCTTGTTATCCAAGAAAACTGGGAAGGATTCCCCTTTCTGGCGAATATAATTGAATGGCTTCCTATAGTGAACCATAGCAACGTTCTTGATGACGAGACGTCCTAATGACTCATGAGTTCAGCCGTTCAAGACGACTAGTGAAATGTACTGCCGTTGGAGGAAACATATATCGGAGAAAACATGTATCGGCTGAATATCAAATTCTGCCCTTCAGCGTCTATGTCCCTCATGCGCATCCTCACTTTCCCAGTAAAACTTTAATATAAAAAACTAAAAAGCACTTTTGCTGCTGGGAAAAGAATATGGTAACTTCTACCGTCTCTTTTGTACTAATGACTGACAGTCGAGAAACCAACATATTCATGCGTACTCAACATAACATCGTAGCTTTGAATGCAAAATATTCAATCAAGTCATGTTTAACAATTTCTTTGTTAATTTAGAAGTCCAACAACAAAAATCAACGTTATATTTTCAAATTTTCACAGGACTAGTTTCGATGGGTTTACGAAACCATCATCCTCAGCTGCAAAAGCGCACATGAACGAGATAGGATATAATGATTAAATAAGATAAGATAAGAAAGCCTGGACAGGAGATAAGCTACTGGCGCCATCTGCTGAAGAAACCAGAACTAAACATAATTACTTTAAAGGCTGAAGGCAAAGATGGATTGGAATTAGGGTCGTTAACTAGAACAGAAAGATTTTTTCTAATCATTATTCACCAGTGTTCCAGTGGAGGGTGCATTAAGATGTTTAGAAACCAGACTTCGCGAATTTCAATTCTCTTGCATCGAAATTGGTGAACTAATTTCTCTCACTCAACTCTGTTTGAAACAAACGCATTTTGTTTTCCAAAATAAATATTATAAGCAAACCGAGGGATTAGCCATGGGAAGCCCTCTCAGTCCCATCTTGGCTGATATCTACATGCATTATTATGAATCAAAATTGTTTGAAACTTTAAACTTCCCGGTACCATATTTCACAAGTGCACATCAGCGTAGTAAGAGGGGAGGGGTTTCGAAAATGGACCAATGAGCTTCTGTTGCTCTTGTGACGGTAATTCTTCATGCATGTGAGCGTATGTTGTTTATGTTTTAATTTGTATTTGTTTCGTAGTTGTAAATAATACAATAGTACAAAATCTCGTAGTGCTTTCGTTTTGTGAGTTTAATTAATCTCTGACATTTCACTTTCGCGATTTTTATCACGCATTAATATTTGGATTGATGTTCACGGCATATTATCGCTCTCGAGAAAATGACTCAATCTACAATTAGCCTAATATTATGGATTTACTAACACCTGCAGATTAAGAGAATTCAAGTGTATAATTTTATTTTAATTGAGTTGAGAAAGGCTGGAAGTGTTACAATGAATCTAGTGTTTTCTTGTTTCAATGATTGCATTCTTTTTATTTGTTTGTATTTATTTCAAATTCTTTCAGCCAGGAAGTGAAATCTTTACAATTGCTTATATTTGATCTAACTTCGCAATGAAAATTTTCAGAAGAAATCGACGATGCTTTAATTATTTTGTACAGAAAACAGCGTGGCAAAATATTTTCAACCATCTTGTTTAAATCTTAAAGCACGCGAAAAATCATGTAACATGCCAGAATATTACTGGATGTCCATTGGTCCATTCTAGAAACCACTCCCTCGGTGGCTTCGCAGATGTGCACTTGTGAAATATGCTTCCCGGTATGGTTCTACTACGTAGACGATACTGTTACCCTGTTTGAAGGTAATAAAAAGATGATTTAAATAAAGTTCTTTCAACAATGAATTCTGCTGATCTTGCTATTCAGTTCACTTTTGAATTGCGATTCTCTTCCGTTTCTCGACATTCTGTTCACATGTCACACTTTAAATCATGTCATCCGACTAAACAAAAGTTAGCTTCATTTTATTCCTATGTTTTCCGTGCTCTTCAAGTTTGTTCCTCCAAACTATCCCTTGATGAAAAACTAAATTATTTAAAAGCAATAGCTATTGACAGGGGCTTTTTCACCCAACATTATTAATCACGCAGTTAAAAAATTCTCATCTCAACACACAAACACAGTCTTGTTTTAGGAGATTATAAAAATTCTGTTGTCATTCCCTTCTTTCCATCAATTAGCTATAAAGTTGCACATATTTTGCAGAAATTTAACTTTCGGGTCGTTTATTCTCCCATCAATAAAATTCCGTATTCCATACTCAAGGACTCCATTCCGGATATGAATTCCTGGGGTATTTACAGGATTCCTTGCCAGTGTGGTTTAATTTACATTGGCCAAACTAAGAGAACCTTACAATTTCGCGTCAAGGAGATGAGGCATATGTTAGAAAAAAGGAAACACAGAAGTCTTCTGTTGCCCAAGATTGTTTTTTCGAAAATCACACTTTCAATTTTTCTGCTACCAAAATTATTCAAAAAACATCTTCCATTCGTGAACTGGATTTTCTAGAGGCATTTCAAATTCAAAAACATCTTTCTGGTCTAGTTAACGACCCTAATTCCAATCCATCTTTGCCTTTAAAGATATTATGTTTTAATTCTGGTTTCATCAACAGATGGCGCCAGTAGCTTATCTCCCGTCCAAACTTTCTTTTCTTGTCTTATCTAATCATTATATCCTATCTCGTTCATTTGCGCTTTTGCAGCTGAGGATGATGGTTCGGTAAAACCTTCGAAACTAGTCCTGTGAAAATTTGAAAAATATAACGCTGATTTTTGTTGTTTGACTTCTAAATTAATATTTGTTCGGCGTGTTATTGTATCTTAATTTCTTTGTTACTAATGCTCAAAAAGTATAAACATTATTTTGATATATTCTGTATTTTATTTTAGGTGTTTTATTTCAGTCTGTACTCCATCTAAAAGCGATGTTACATAGCACGTATGCTGTCAGTAAATATATTTTAATACATCAAATTTCTGTTACTGAAAGTGTAGATTTTTCTACGTAAGAA